TTTCGGTCGCGTGGAATGCAACTAAGACAATAGATAATGAAGGCCGAAGCTTAATGAGGTTTATCATCTCATTACTGTCTTAGCACTGAGTGCATAAATTATACACGTCCTAATTACGCATTCAGTAATATATTTTGTTAATTGACCGGGAAAAGCAAGACAAAATTTTGTTCATTTCTCGTTCAATTTTTAACCAAATTCAACCAAATTTTAATCAGTTCTTCCTTAGCCGATGGGAAATGCATTCAAAAAATTTCGTACGGATATGTTTGGTATTTCTTGAGTTATCGTGCTCACAGACAAACACACACACACATACACACACACACACACACACACACACATACACATATATATATATATATATATATATATATATATATATATATATATATATATATATATATATATATATATATATATATATATATATATATATATATATATATATATATATATTTATATTTATAAATATATGTACATGTACCTATATATGTTCATATATTATAATTATAATAGGTGCTGTCTCTAATAAAAAGTCTAAAATCTAAATGTAAATGTAAGTTCATAACTATTTAAAATATTAATGATCTGAAATTACATGACCTACAAGGTTGCATTACGTGCGCAATATTTATTTATTTATTTACTTTGCCATCATACTTATACATTCATTGGCTGGGAAACCACAACAGCTATTGTCAATTACAGCGGCCCCAATAGTTATACAGAAACAATTTACAAGGTATACTAAACACACACAACAGACAATACTTGAACAACAGTCATTACATTTGTCTAAAAGCAGCATGTCAATGGAGAGTTCATTAAACTTCGAGCGGAATTACATTTTATACACACACTTTTCCATGTCCGGGGATCCTCAACATCGTATGTATTTTCTAATGCTAAAATATAGTACTTAAAAAGAAGATTCTTGAATTCTGAAAATGTTAGGTCTTTCGATGTAATATAATTGGGTAGTGTATTCCACTTGGGATTTTGGAAGACGTAAAACAGTCGCCAGCGGCTTGTGTCTTTTACGCTTTCCGAACGTCTCGCAACATCCCGCGTGTATGGACTTTCATACGATAGTCATTCATTTTCCTAATATTCTTTATTGCAGGTTATCGTGTGCTAATACTTTCTGCGAAGATCCTGCATCATAAACGATGTCGTGTAACAGTTACTGTGAGAATGGCAAAACACTCGCTGAAGATACAACGTACGACCATGGTCTGCCAAGATGTCTTTTTGAAACTGTTAGTTCTCTTGTCTTATTAGTTCTCATCATACTTGCATGTCTACCTCAACTACTAAGGATTGTGTACAAGAGAAGAATGGCAAAAAATCGTTATATGTCCGTCCAGGATGATTTTGATCAATCTATCGACGCCACAGCGACGGATCTTTTGTTAAACACGGACACATCTAAATCTTTTTCTCCGAAATTTTTGGACGACCCAGCAGGGTTCATCTATGGCGAGAACTACCGTTCTTCCTTTTTGTATACATGTCAACTGTTTTTTCATGTATGCCAAGTTATTTTACCTTTACTGGATCTTGTAGTCAAAGGTAAGTCCAATAATAATTATAGATAAGTGACTCATTAGTTTTAATATATCCTGAAATAATTTGAAGTGTAATTAAGCGAGCAAGCAAGTGGGGGTGGATTAATAACTTCTTATTAACCAAACGCGAGGTCTGTACATGCAGAGAAATATCGGCCCGAGGTCTTTTTTGTACAGACAGAGCCCGTAGGGCGAGGTTTGTACAAAAAGACCGAGACACCATTACGACATATTGGGTATTGATAACGTTTTCTCTTTGACAGGCTCGATGCAATCATCTCGTATACAAGGTGTAACTATAGTTGGTGATATCCTTATGTTTGTAGCATGGTTTCTAGCATACTTTGACACAATGATTGAAACACAAGATCGATATATAGCGAGGCTGTCGCATTATTCCACTCCCTTGCTTTTATTTTGGGGTCTGATGTTTGTTAAGAACAATCTCGTCTTGATATCATGGAATAATAATGAATGGTGGTTTCAAAGAAAAACATCGGTAGAAGAAGCAGAGTTCATTTTGTTTTGGCTGAGGTATTCATTTTCAGCTCTGATATTACTTCTGGGAATGAAAGCTCCTGGATTGTATAGGCCAAATTATCAGGTGTCGGTCGATGATGGCGACGTGCCTGGAACGCCATCGGTAAGTTCTTTTATTCTTGTTTTGTTAAAGAGTTTCTACCAGGGGCTGATCTACCGTTGGGTTGCATGCTAATATATATTGTATGCGCATGCTAATATGTATTGTACAGTACGCAAAGAATGTTAGGAAATCTATTTCTGGTTTACCGAATGGTGTCTTCCTTTTTTCTCTAGACAGATGATGGTACACAAACATCAACATTTAAAGGAGTTTGGAAGAAGATAAAGGTTTTATGGCCGTTTCTTTGGCCGAACAACCGGTATATTTTTGCGTTTAATAAATAGATAACATTTTGCTGTTATCTGTTCAGTTATAATGTGGCGTCATAAAGAGGAAAACCCAACGAACTCTCTCTATATATATGGAGCAAGAACTGTAGTCAATCGGCCCATGAGCGAAGCCAAGATGACGGAAATTAACGTCCAATATCAATATGAAGGTCGCAAACAGATTTAATTCCATTTGACCAACCAATTCCAGTGTTTTCTAACGCACTGTATCGCTAAACAAGTAATCAGTTCATAACACCATAGTGTTATTTAAATCGAAGTCGAAATACGAAATTTCGGCAAACTCCTTGCCAGCTTTGTGTTAACCGCGCGGACAAAAACAAGAGGAACGGACTGGAACTGGCGCCAAATAGCTCTTTAATTTCCGCCATCTTGTCTTTTCTTTTTGGACTCGAGTTCATGTGTATAGAGCTCACTAGTAAGAACAAAAAGTCTCCATCGAGGCACTGGGGCGAGTATAGGTTACTGCTGTTCTCTTATCACGTCATGATGTCTTCTGTGTATCCAGAACTGAACAGACAACGGCAAAATGTATTTGTTTTAGAGAATAAAAAGGTTGGAAAATTAGCTAAACTACAGTAAGCTCGTACCATTGAACTATAAGTAAACTGGAACGATAACTCTTATGATAAAGGCCTATATATGTTTGGGTGAAGCCAAATTTCGGGCGCTCAAGTATAGCCTGTTCGCAGATATGTATACGAAAATAAATAGACAAAATTTTTCACGAAGTGTTTTTACTAATTTAATCCTTAATTTTAACTTTATAATAAAGTACGTTTCTGGATGTTTGACTCCATTATCAACCGTATCTAAGATTTTTTCTACATAAATTGTATAAAATTGTCTCTGAACTCTTTCTGGAAAGTCTAAAAACTCAGAAAAACCATAAATTTTCGCGCGGTTTTTTGCCGAGTTCCGTTTTGTTCGTGTCATATTTCGGCCGCTAAACAATATTTGCTTATTTTATGTGCCTTAGATAAGACATGTGTTGTCTAAGTGTGCTCTGAGATAAATATAAATGCCTTGCAAGAAGTAAAAGTGAAAAAAAATATTAACGAAATAAAAATTTTAAGCTGTATTTTTCGCATCATTTTGTAAAAAAGGACTGGGGCTACCTGCAGGCAACTTATCGTTCCAGTTTACTTATAGTTGAATGGCTCGTACCGAACGAGTTTTGAAAGACATTTTCACGCCATTTGACGTGATCCATGGCCTGACAAGGCGAATTACTCGGCAACGGCGACATCCCGGCGACTATTATAGAAACTTAATAGTTTTCGGGGGTGACTGCATGATACAACCGGGTAACTGTAGACTTTAGCAAAGTCTTTCGTTTTTTAATATACTGTACATAAAAATATTACTCGACTATGATTGGTTGATTTCAGTGCTGTTAATCTCAAACGGCAGTGCAAAATCTGTAACAACAGTGGAAAAATCTGTGACAAATTGACCCGATTTGTGGAAAAAAAGATAGGATCTAAAATCAACCAATCAGCTTAAAGCAGTCCTCAAATAACGATCACAGATCGCTTCAAAACAAAACAAACATGGCAGCCGCGCTACATAAAGTAAAAGTTTCACTATCGGTAACGCTGATGTATATATAATATGTACTCGCTTTGTTGATTGCTACAGTAATCAACTGTTCAGCTTACATGTTTTTCATGCCTGAGCGAGTAACTCGCCTTGCCGAGTAGCTCGCCTTTATATGAACAGGCCCTTGCAAAACAACCCATGTCGTTGGTTCGTGATGTTTCCGAGAGAGAGCTGTAGTTGGCTTAAAAAAATAGTGATCTTTACCAAGCGACGCTTTTGTCAACAGGGACGTCACCCAAAATTTTTGTCTCATTGCCCTCGTGTAAGGAAGCAAAAAAACTTTAAAAATCTTTTTTCATTGTGTGTTGAAGATTACAACAAACTGACACAAACAGTTTTTAATCCAGGCCATCCCCCGGCAATCTCACGTCCGTGTTGATAAAAACGTCGCCTGCTTAAGTTTCCTAACATAGTAACAATACGTCACTAAACTGGAGTCATGATTAATTGGAAAGCAGCTCTACATTCTATAATCCTTCTCACAGGTGGTTACAACTACGTGTGGTTCTTTGTTTCGTGCTACTTGGAGGTGGCCGTGTAGTTAATGTATTTATACCAGTGGTGTACCGTAATATAGGTAAGATGATACACGCAAGTATTGAAATACTTTAAAGTGACGTCTTTTGAAGATTGCTTTATATTCGCGGTGTGTGAGTTTATTAATCTGTTTATTAGGTTAGTAGCCTTGACGTTTATTCAAAAAAAGAATGTCTGCACGCTTGTGGGGCACTTGCTTTGCGCAGGTCCAGGGTACCGCACTATCCTACTATGTCTGGTTAATTCTTGTTACGATGCCTCGTTGAAGTATTTCGACTTTGTTATATCCGAGCCAGTTCTGTTACTAGCTATATGGCTCGTTTCTTCCTAATTAACTTATTCCAAAGTCGTGTTTATTTTGACGATTTGTTAAATGAAATCGCTACACTGGTATATCTCGTCTTAGTATTTAATTACTTTTACTGTATGAGCTATGGGAGTGTGCAACATAACACATGATTATCAAAAATGTTAATCAGAGATTTTGCGCCAGGTCCCAGCACAAAAAGGGGCGCACAATTAAGCGACGAAGGCCCTTAAAATTTCTTGATCCAAGATTAGTTCCTCCCGCTTTGCAATTGTGACGCCAAAGGAGCCCCCCTGGGAAAGTTTTGCCCCCGTGCAACATCTGGGCGGCTCTGCTGTTCTCTCTTGTGCAGTAGATTGCCTGGCGACCCCTACACCATTCAACCAAATACCTGATAGTCAATGCAGATAGCCCGTTTAAGTTGGCTGGATTATTTGGTGTGATACACAGCATACTTTTTCTTATACAATGCAGTTAAACATTTCTATTTGATTTGTAATATGTACAAAAACATTCTAAATATTTTAAAGGTCAGACAAAATCAGGGCTACTAATAGGCCACCTATACTTGCTTTGTGAAACTTTAGTACAGATATGTTATCTATTTTTTCTAGTTAATTACTTTACTCCTGGTAAAGATGGACTTGAAGGAAAGACAAACCCGGTGCATTTAATTATTATTTATATCGTTTTGAGATTTTTACAAGGAGGAGGATCAGGTAATTTGCTTACTTATTCTGTGACTATGCTATATTTCTTTTCGTTATATTTACCGATAGATGCGGAGTTAGCCAATCAGAAAAGCGATACAATTTTCTCACACATGAGAAAATGTTTCGTCCAAACAAATGATGCAACGATGACGTGTGAATAAATTCCTTCACCGCAGGAATCATCCCACCCTTTGGTTTGATTTTGTTTATTTTACTTGAAGCTGAACATAAGCTTTATTTTGTAGCTTTATATTGCTTTTTTATTGCTTGAATGAATTGCATACTTTTTACTATTTAACCGTCAAAACGATGAGGTAATAGCACTTTTAGCTGTCCGAAGATTGTCCGTAAAGGCATCAAACTCTGAGTAACAACGTTTGTTTTATATTTTTAAATCATAAATTAAGCTCTATACTATAAAGTATTGAGGACTCTTCGTATTACAGTATATATACGTATACGCCCCCAAAAAAGTTTGAGTTGTTATTTTCTCTTCCTTTTGTAACGTATATTAGAAAGTCTTAGTGTGCTCTCAGGAAGTCCTGACAATTTTTTTCAATGTCGCGTTTTGCAATGAAAAGTGTTCAAAACCTAAAATGGTTTTGGCATTCCTCTCAAAATTACTTTTTTTAGCTTTATTTTGTAGTTTACACAGTTAGCAACCTTTTTAAATGTATCTGCATGGCGGTTGATAAACACAAAATAATAGTTAAATATTGTCGATTTAAATATACAGCAATATATTAAAGCAAAACATACTGAACTTCAGACATCATTTTCTCTTTGGTGTACCATCTAAAATCTGTTTATTTTAGCATTATTCTACAGATAAGGCACTAAACATACTTTTTAAGTTTGTTTGCCGCTTGACTGAGAAACGTATCAAAAATTTAAAAAAAAAATTAAGCCGAAGACTGAAGCAGATAACACAAACTGAGGCCTAACTAATTCCTCATATTCTGCGAGAACCGAATTCAATAACTGTTTTTATTATTATTTATTTGTCGAAATATACAAAAATGGTCGGCGAACCTTTCCATTGAGGAAGCCTTTTTTTCCCGCTTTTGGCATAAGTCGCATAAATTAGCACGACGTCATAGCGTCTTACATTGTTTTTCAATATACACCACGAAATTCACGTCAAACGTGATATATTTGTTTTCGATATTCCACGGTGATGTCAAAACTCCAAACTTGGACAGCTACCGAGCGGATATAACGATTTCACCGACAGCTCTACTTAGCCAATCAAACCTCTTGAATTATTTTCAAGAAATAATAATTAGGGTTATTTCCAGGCAACCTCGTTCCCAGGGCTTTCATGTGAGGACGAGGGGAGAGACGAGAAAGCCCTGGTCTGGGCCGGTCACGTGACTACCCAAAAAATGGCAGTATTTGACAGCTACTCGTCAAGGAGTGGCGAGATATTCTTTAATGAAATATACAAGTCTTCAAAACAAATAAACAGCCAAAACGCTTCTCAATTGATATTATTTATGTGTAGCGAAGTTTGGCACGAATCAGCTGAAATCTCTGAAGACCCTCGTCTATGTTTTCTAAGATATACCGATAATTCTGGAGATTTTCAACCACAGGCAAAGCTGCATCCAAGCTGCATCTAGGAGTCTCCATGCAAGTGGTGATTCACACGAAATTTCAGTGCTTTCTCTCGTCTTGAACAATATGGCTATTGCCTTTAATATTTAATTTAAATACGCTCTTATAGATCTGACTTAGTTCAATATAAATAAACACAAATATAAAATTTTGAATAAAACCTCGCGTAACCTGTTTACGCTGTACAGGAATATACAGATTCGCTTGTTTCGCCGGACACCAACACTTGAAGCAATGCTTGCCTACAAATTTTATCCCCTTCACAGTCTTTGTTTTATTTTATCGTATAGTCGCAATTTTCAAGTATTCGGGGTATTCTGATACTGTAAAACTCGGCGTGACGAATCTTGTAGAGACTATATCGGCCTAGGCGTAAGTAAACAGGGCCTAAATTAATTTAGTAGCTTCATTTAATTGTTTGTCTTGCTTTTATTTGTCAGTATAGAATATTGTAAATTAAAATATTACTACAATGTAATACGCGTAGTATTTCATCAGACATCTGCACTACATTATAAATACTGTACAAGGAAAACTACAGCTTAATAGTAGACGTTTCTTGTTTTGTCAGGAAACATCACAGCTCACGTCGACACGGCTTTTGAGTTTTGTAACCGGCCGAGGCGAAAGTTAATCATGCAGTCGGGAAAACGTCTTAGCTTGAAAGATTATTTTGGAAAACATACTCGTACACACAAGAATCATAAAAATACATATGTTGAATTGTTATTGTCAACTGTAAAGTTCAGTTATTTTTAGACAATATAGTGTTAGCCAATCAGAATGCAAAATTGACCGGCCCAGACCAGGGCTTTCTCGTCTCTCCCCTCGTCCTCATATGAAAGCCCTGGGAACGAGGTTGATTTCCAGGTTAACCAGAAAAATTTAAACCGAAGTTTTAGAATGCATGTTTTGTTTTTATCACAGTATTATCCAAACCAAACTTCTGCTTACTTTGTTTTAAAGGTGCTCTGGGAATGTTATCAAATACGCGATCATTTCTATGGATTAAAGTCCAACAGTACACAAGTCGTGCTGTTCAAGTGCGGCTGTTTGCTCACTTACACAGGTGAAAATTTGTTTCTCAATTTCTACTGTACCACGGACCATAACGTTTTTGATTAAAGTAGTAAACCCTCATGAGCTTGATAGGAACTAGTCCACTCTTAATTGGCGCAACATTCGCTCGTAGCGAAAATCAAAGGCCGTTGAGGCTGACTCACGGATGAGATCAAATGAAAGTGACAGAAAGAATTAGAGCAGTGTGCAGTTGTTTTTGCAAACGGGCACCGTGCAAATTTTGCCATTTGTTGTGCTTCTTTTGCCAAATCAAAATTCAAAAGAACGAACGCGTGTGTCAGCCCGATTTCCGGTTCTGAAAGGCTCGATTCGCAGGCAAACAGTGGGCGCAAAGCAGGTTGGTAATTTCCCATTGTTTAACTGCCCCACACTCGAGTAACCACAAAGACTCACAGATATAGATGTTGCTTCGCAATGTCAAAAGTGTTCAAAGTCCATCGCATAAAGCCGGTTTTCCACTAGGCGGAATTTTGCGCGCGGAGCGGAATTTTTCTTTGTCTTGTGATTTCTCGGGTGTAACTAATTAGAAAAGACAATGAAAGAATTCGCTCCGCGCGCAAAATTCCGCCTAATGGAAAACCGGCTTAAGACAGGATGATTTTTGCGCTTCGTTGTGTTTTTCATGCACTCGGGTGCAGTTACCCAACTGAGTTGGTCCCTCGACCCGGATTATCGCGTTGTTCGCTTCATAGAGATTATAAATAACACTGGAGGGGGCATCGAGGGTGAAATTTGGGAGCGCGGTAATGGGGGCAAATTGAAATCCTGGATGAACACCACACAATTCTTGGGTTACACTTGAAACCAGAAAAATTTAAAACAAGAGTCACAAAACTGGGTGTTTTATATGTTTTGCATGTCATTGCTACAAACGTTCCCCCCAAATTTTGAATTCAAACGATTAAATCCTCTTGAAAAGATCAAAGTTGCTGACATCAGCATTATTTTGCAGGGCTCTCAAAAATGTGTTATAGACAAAATTGAGGTAAAAATGCTTGGTAAAAATCAAACGGGACTACGTAACTGTCATAAACAAGAATTTAAAGGTTTTGGCTCAAACTCGCTCAAGAGATTATTTTAGCATTTTAATGTTTTGCCCCCCAATTAGCCATTTTCCAAAGTCCTGAGTCTAGTCGCGCGAATCCCTTTTTGGAGGGACAAGAAACATGGCAGCACACATTTAAATTAAAAGTTTAATGTATAAAAAGGAGATATTTCATTTTTGGTCGTGTAAAAAGTTGATATTTGATAGTAGATACTTCTAGTCTTTCACAGGTTTGACGCCTGTCTCCATATATTTTGTCCCTCCAAACGATCCCAGAATACACTGTGATCTCTTTTGGGAAAAGGCTAATAGCCGCGTTCCCTTTCTTTGACTGACTTAAGATTACGATGCCCCCTCTAGTGTTATTTATAATCTCCATGGTTCGCTTGGGGTTATGGTTTTTCCACGGGCTGGGGGAGTTTAGATACAAACCTGCATGTACATACTGTTATTGCACTATTATTATATGATGGGAAATGCGAACAAATATTTGAAGTGATTTCCGTTAAATATTTGAATGTGTTTAATATTCCTTTTCGTATTGTACTCGCAGCTCTTAACTTAATATGACTGTCCGTTAATTTCTAGTTTGTCTCTGCGTTGGCATTTAAGTAGAAAAACAGGAGAGGTATTACGAATCGTGGACCGTGGCAATACAAGTATTAACAGCTTGTTGAGGTATATTATTATACATTACCTATCTTTTTCTTCATGAAAAACCATTAGAAATTGAGTTTTACAAATACTGTAAGTACTGTAATGCAACATTATAAAGAAAACTCAACACTGTAGATTAATTGTACTTGATTACAGTGCTGACCCGAAATAACCTACGAAGCAAAGACGAAAATCCGCAGCTTTTGTCGTAAATGGTCTGATAAACGCCATGGGCGGTTATTAAATTTTCTTACTTTAAGGGAGGGGGCGTTAAATAAATAAATAAATAAATAAATAAATAAGGGGGGGGGCATTGGAATAGGGCGTTTACTCTTACATACTGTACGGTAGTTTTACGCTTCTTAAAACAACATTTTTCAGCAGTTTGCAATTGCACATGCAATATGCAATTTTGTTACAGCTCATCACGTATGTTTCATCACTAAAATTTAACCGACGTTTAATTGGTTATAATATAGCCCTAATGGGGATGGGGCGTTTATTACTGTATATTAGGCGCGTTTATTAGATCATTCACGGTAAGCAACTTTCACACCATTGGGCTTCATGGTTATTGCTGACTTCCTGCTGTTTTTCTGGCTTCGCTTTAGACACATGTTGATATGTTTTAACCTATTCTGCATCACCACTGAACGCCTAAATCAAAGAAATAAATCTTATAATTATAAACTCGGCAGAGATGCTGCAAATCAGTGCTAAATTCCCCTCCTCCCATTTTATTTAACAACATATTGTGCCCATAGTACATTGAATATAGATACGTTTGGTGTTAATAGATTGTATCTCATTTTTTCAGTTACTTACTGTTTAACATCATCCCTGTTATTATTGACATAATCATCGCCATAGTTTATTTTATTCTGGCATTCAATGGATATTTTGGGCTTATTGTTTTTGTCACTATGGGTCTTTACTTAGGTAAGTTCTTGGTATCTGTTGTTTGTTTTTATCAGAAGAATGTGAGTTGCGGCCATATTGCTGTAACCTCATTAGTTATTCACCAGCAAATTTAAGATGAAAGAAAGGTCACTGAAGACCAATTTCTATATCTAGACAACAAGTGTCCGTTCCCAACAACAACTATAGAGACTATTAAAATATCTTCTACAATGTCAACAATACCATTGTAGGTTGTGGTTGTCACAGCAGTATGGCAGCCATTTACAAGGGGCTTCAGTGGCGAAGTGGTTAGCGCACTTGCCTTTCACCTCTATTAAAGGCCGCAGGTTGAAGCCTCAATGAGAACTTTCTCAATGCGACTCGAACCCAGTCCTCATGTGAAAAGAGTAAAAGTCAACGCTCTGCCGAAAGTCGTGGGTTTCCTGCGGGTACTCCAGTTTCTTCCCAGAGGGAAAGTTGACAGGGTGGGTTAGGTAAAAAGGGCCCACAGTAATTGGCATATGCTGTTGTGGTGACCCTGCCCTAGTTGGCAAAGCTAAATAATTAAATAAATTTACTTAATTTATGCACAGTGTATGCACTGTCCAATACTGTTTTAGATCAGTGAGAAGTACCGACATTCGACCGAGAGAATAATTAATGCATTTGCTTTGTTTAAAGTCAAAATTTTAGCCTTTGCTTGTGAAAAGACTTTTCACTAGCAAACTTTCACGAGTATGGACTTTATTCGGGTAAATTGAGCAATTTTTTTACAGAAATGTGATTTTATTTGCCAGTCTCTGACGACCAATGAACTGTTCAAACTATCAATTACGGTCAGCGGTTTTAAACGATGGACATGCGTGAAATAGATGCGCTAATATTGATAAATTTTGCTTGTGACTTTGCAGTTTTTGCTTGTAACAACGAAACCTATAATTATACTAGCACATTTTTTTGTTAGAAACGAAAACGTTTTATCCTAATTGTAACGTATATTTACCCTCCAACAAGGCAATAGATGAAAACTGTCAATATATACAATGCACAATCTCTAAAACGCTAAGTTATCTATACAAATGGAGACCTACAGGAATTTTGTCGTTAATTTGTTGGCAAATATAGCCTTTAAAACTTTTTGACTTATATTTAGAATATTGTGACTGAAAACAATGCGCTGTCTAGCATCTTGGGTTAGTTTTTATCTCACGATTATCCGTATCTTGTTCAATTATACTGTACAACTGAATGTTAGATGGGGTTTTAGTAAATGGAATTTTCCAATGAAAATTGATGTACAATTTTAGACCTAACCTATCCGGAGCAGCTGCGAAAAATGCAACCACTGGCATCACCTTATTATGTATACAAGATTACAAGAATTTGTGGTTGATGCTCAACAACGGACATCGAGCTTGACCCGTTTCAAATTTTGTGTACGCTTTTGAGAAATGATTTCTTCTCAATTTAATGATATTCAGGTCTGTGTACGAAAGGATGCATTTTCATAGAATCGCAATGAAACCAAAGTGGTACATCTCTCCAAAGTGTATACTAAATTAGTAAATATTGAAATGGGCAACGATAAAATTGCTTGCACAAGTCTGTGCACGGTGACTAATTCAATTTAATTTACAATGTTTTTAGCAATGACCATATTGATTACGGAATGGCGTACCAAATACAGGCGAGAGATGAATGTCAAAGACAACCTAACAAAGGCAAAAGCGGTCGATTCATTATTGAATTTTGAAACGGTAATATTTGTTGACTGGCGGTCATTGAATGCCACACTTTTATATATGTTTATTACTGTACCTCCACCAGAGGATGTTTTCACCTCCGTTTGTGTGCGGATCGTGTGTCTGTCTGTCTGTCTGTAAGCATGATAGCCTAACTCAAAAACTATAAAATTACAGTTTCAAAAAGCAAAAATTTGCATTGGAGCTAATATGGTACGATCAAGGACCAATCGGTCAAATTCTGCGTTAAGTTGGGCGGAAATTGGATGAGAAATATACAAATTAAACTGGAAACACACTGAGAAATTAGCTACCATACATGCACGTATAGTTGCTGTACAAATGACATTACCCTTGACGAGCAAAATTGTCTGGCTTTTTAGACATAGCAAAATAATAATGTAGCGCGCATTGGGGCACAATGCGACTCAGTGGGTAACTTGGCACATGAGCAGATAGTCTGATTAACCAGCCGAGTACATGCAGCGCTCTCCCTTTGACGAGTAAAATCGTCTGCCGTTGGGGCGCAATGCCACGTAATGGGTTATGTACCATTAGTATTTATAGCATTTTCTTTTGAATTAAGTAGAGTTTAAAAGCATACATGTATTCAAATAATCTTTTTCAATAGTGCGAATAACCACTTGTACAAACCCTGACCGATTGTTTTTTTATACAACATCAACCAATATTTTTCCTTGTGATGTAGTCGGTACTGTACACTGCAAGACTTATTATAGTGTGGGATTAAAATCAAGGCTAAACTTATATTTACTGTTTAGGTAGATATTGTTTGTACGATTTGAACTCTTACAACCACGACACGTTTTTTTACGTGATGTGGGCATGAGAAGTAAAACCACTGTACAGCTCTTGATACTGATGTACGTTTACAATATTATAGATCCTTCCTTTAAACTGATATAGTCTCATACCATAATTTGTGTCCATCTTTATAGGTTAAATATTATAACGCAGAGGATTATGAAGTTGGTCGTTATAATGATGCCATTGAAGGTTATCAAGTATGTTGTTCATTTTGTATCTCATTTTCTTACCAACAGATTTTCTGATTGATAGTGATATAATCATAGTCATTCCTTATATAATGTCACAAAGCATGCATGCAGCATTATACAAAGCGTGCATGTTGTTGTTGTCGTTTGAAATTGGATAGGATTGGTTTCAGCCATTTTTGACTAGGTCTATAAATTAAAATATATTGCTTAAAATTTTAAACATACATTATTTTTATTGGCTTGGTAGATTGAGCTAAAAATAAATGGTTGGTATAAAAATTATAAATACTACCACAAAGTGGCTTATACAAAGCGTAGGTATTTATTGCTGGTTATCTTTTTTAAATTCGATTGGTCTGAGCCAGGTTTTGATTAAAAAATATATTAGCTGAATTTATTGGCTGTTTAATATTTTATATAAAGTATAATTAATATAGTAATTTATAATATAGTCATTCACCGTATATGAGCTCTTCTGCAATCTGATTGGTTGAATTACTCGCCGTATATCAGCTCATATACGGCGAGTAGCGAAAAACAAGATGGCGGTCGAAAAACTACATGAGTTTTGCGAAGCAGGAAAAAGGAAAATATTCGCTTTGAGAAAGATAATAGTACAAGGAAAAACTCTCAAAAAAAATTGACAGGTTAGCAAAATGCATTTATTACATAGAAATTAGTTTAAATACAAGTTTTTTAAAGAATTAATACCGAAACAACAGCGAAAAAAAAACATGTTCATTGAGAAGATAAATTGTTCAGAAAAGTTTGCAACGAAAGACAAATGAATTTGCAGTCAACAAGCACTTATATATTATACTACCAAACATCTGTATAATATATCTGAGCTTTTCTGTGAGATATACCGGTTCTAAAACCATTTCTTTCACTTCTTCGAGTTGTAAAACGAAAGTATTTCAAATTTTCAAGGTCAAGCGGTTTTTGGCCGAACAAATTGTCAAGACATTGTATCAGAGGATAATTAATTATTACTTCAGTTAATGGCTATTAGACTATAATATTATTATAAAACAATTATACCATTCGCTCTCGTCGTATATGGCCGATAGCCGACTCGGTGCTACGCACCTCGTCGGCTATCAGCTCATATACGACTCGAGCTCATGGTATAATTGTTAAATATATAGTATAATATATAATATAGTAATTCTGTATAATTATAATACAAAGGAATATAGACATGAAGTACTTATTAAAACAAGTTTAAAACAATGATTGGACGACAAGACATGATTGAGACAGACAAAATGTGAAAGGACATCGTTGCAATTATGCCAATAAAATAACCCAATGGGCACTAATTGTAATGAGTTTAAATTTTACTAACTATTGTAAGGAGTTGAGTTTAAATTTACACACTCACAGTCATCGCCTTAATGCTTTCACCTGTGAAAAAGCATTTTCACGCTGAACTGAACTCCATTTCCACATATGAAATAATAATTTCACATGTGAAAATAGTTTTCAAAATGAAAGAATACTGTATGACTCATAATTGCATGGGCATAAAATTTCATATGTGAAATTATTAAGCCAATCATCGTATCAGTTTCAACAACGATTGGGTAAATACCAACCTGAAATGAACCCCCTTTTTGTGATTGGCTTGCTTGAACAAATGTGATCAGTGTTTGTGACTCGTTCAATTCTTTAGAAAATTTAGTCTCAGAACCTGTTCATATAGGGGACTGTTTATACTTTATAACAAATGGCCAGTAGGTGCCGTATGCTATAAGTAATCAATTATTTTGGGCATCTTGTTCGATTGAAATACTAATTGTTGATATCTAATTGTTGATGGGTTTGTGGTAGATGGAATTTCGAGAGAAAGATTTATATACAATTCTCGGTCCTAACCTTGAGCAGCAGAAACATACAACTCTACTGTAGGAGAGTAAACCAAAAATTTTTAGAACCACTGAGTATTTTAATAAAATACAAAACAAGTGAAACTCCAAAATCGATAACATGTTAAAAATGTTATCGATTTTTGGAGTTTCACTTGTTTTGTATTCTACTGTAGGCCCTCTAGGAATCGAATCTGCGACTCGCAATTTCGGTTCTGCGCTCTAACCAACTGAGCTAATGAGTCCAATTGACGAGCAATCAACTACTAGTTATTGTATATATGGTATGGTGATGCCTGCATAGGGTATATGGAGAAATATATATCAAGATTTTAGGCATCGTGCTATTTTTTGGGCATCGTGCTGTTTTGCACTATATGTGTTGATGAGTTTTTGGTAGATGGAATTTCGAGCAAAAACCCATCAACAACTAAATCATAAAATAGGCTACCTGTAACAGTGGCCAGGTATATGAACTAATTTTATTATGGTTATACTTTTTAGGACAGCGAATGGCAGTCTTTAGCTAGCCTTAATCTTCTCAATGTGGCACAGAATTTCATTGTTACAATTGGACTCTTAACAGGAACAATTTATTGTGGTCAGTTGGTCATTGATGGAACTCTCAAGGTAAAGAATGTATGACACTCTCTCTCGGCCATCTCTAAACCATTAAACAGTTTTGAGACATACAGTATACGCAGAATTATCTCCTTTCAGGCTTTCTGCATTGGCTTCAAATTCGGTCAGTATAATCTGCAGACCAAGTACAAAATGCAGAATAGGTATAAATTGCAGACTGAAATTGCAGACTTGGTATAATATGCAGACTGTGAAAAAACCCCGTATAAAACTACACATTACACCCGCGTTTTCAAAATTATGCGGCTTAGGGGCGGACCATTTGATTTTTGAAGGGGGGTTGGAAGATTTCGAAAAAGAATTTCCTGCAATCCAAGGAGAAAGAAAAAAAATCATGCAGCATACAATCGAGAAAAAAAAATATCATGCAAAAGAGAGCGCTCAAAAAAAAATTCCTACATGTAAATCTACTGACGTTCTTCATTTCAGTATTGTGTCCACAGGCTTGCAAGATTTTGCATTTTTGAGCAGGCACATTTGCTTAAAAGAACACGGGGTGAACAGTGGACAACATCACAGGGATTCTACCGCCTTTGGACTTTGGAACCTATAACATACGATAGCCAGTGGCGTTCCCTGGCAAAATTGTTGCCCCCCCCTGAGAAAATCTGGGCTTAAGATATGTACAAGTTTATAAGTTATTTATACATATCTAATATGCATGGTAGAAAAAGTATTTTTGGATGGTTGAGTCTGTGTGCGTTTTTTGATAACATAGCTCCAAACTATTAAAGCTTCAAAGGCCCATCTACAGGATGCAAGTTGAACGTACTGTATATACGATGATTTTAATGCGAAAATGCCAGTTTAGAGAGTCTAGATTTTAAAAAAATTCTGAAGAGGATGCAACCCGATCCCCAACAAGCTATCTGTATGAACGATTGAAAAGCTACAGAGCTATATTTGGTGGAACATTGTTGTTTCGGAAGGCAGTTAAAAATCGCATTATTGAAATCTTGTTTTATTACATATTAATCAAAGCTCATTTTGTGATTTTCCCTTGTTTAAAATAAAGGACAGTAAGTGTTCCTTAGGCTTAGTACAGCAAAGTTGTTGGACGAATCCATGGCTGAAAACGCAGGAAATAGCATTTCCGAGGTTCAAATTTTAAAATTTTCTCGGGGAGCATGCCCCCGAACCCCCCAAGGTTACAGGTCATTCATATACTGTACCTCCTCAATTTTCGAGTACTCTACTCTATCCCTGCATGTTTTAGGTTTTGGTGCAGTTATACATTTTTTGTAAGTAAACCTGCACGCTTTAGTGTGGGGAACATTAAGACATAACCATATAAAATAAAGCACAGTGAAAATTCCTTGGCCCCTCTTGGGATTCAGGTTCGGCCTCCTCTGACTGAAAACCCTGGCTAACGTCTCTGAGGATAGCTATATGAAAGCCTTAAGCAGTTATTATGAGGGGAATAAAAAAATATCCTGCCGCGAAATATATTGGGAAAAAAATATCTTCCGCTGCACTTTTACAGGAAAAAATATCTGTCTTATTCCCTGGGTGGAAAAAAAATTCTTGCACAGACTGAATCTTCCAACCCCCCCCCCCTTAAAAATCAAATGGTCCGCCCCTTA